ATCATTATCAATTGAAACCTATGTCTTCCATGTTTAGTAGGCCCTTAATGTTATAAGATAAACAACTCTTTGAGCAACAACAGATACATTTTAGATCCCTAGAAAAAAAATCCACATAATTTAAAAAAACCAAGACACACCCTTAATATTTGTAATTGGCCAAGAATTAAAAAAGATAAACACATTAAACTTTACTTTTAATGTAAACAACCAATGTCACTTCAATATTTTTGATACACTCTGTTCTCAAGAAATGAAATCACTATATAGGCCTACTCAAAATTTAGAACTAAAGTGAGTTTATATATAGGCTCAATTATCTTTTAACTTGTAAGAATTGAAATCACTATAAAGGCCTACTCAAAATTTAAAACAAAAGGAAGTTTATAGGCTCAATAATCTTTTAACTTGTAAGAATTGAAATCACTATATAGGCCTACTCAAAATTTAGAACAAAAGCAAGTTTATATATAGGCTCAATAATCTTTTAACTTGAAATCACTATATAATATATGCCTACCAACCGGTACTCAAAATCTTTAGCTCAATAATCTTTAAAAATTGAAATCACTAGGCCTATAGGCCTAATCAAATTTTTATCGGTTCAATAACCTTTTAACTTGTAAAATGGAAATCACCGTGTAACAGGCCTACTCAGAATTTATATATATAGTCTTAATAATCTATATTATTATTAACTTGTAACACGTTACGCCCACATTTTGCAAGAGATGGATAGAGAACAAGCTAAAGAAAACAAAAAAAACCATGATTTTTCGTACAATCAGGGGCCATAATTCAGTAAGTAATGGTCTGAAAGGTGCAAATATCGAAAGAAACGGAGATCTTTGGGATATAAACATATATTTTAAGTTTCATCCACAACCTTCATATCACACTATTTGCGACGTACAAGGAGCAGCTATTTTGTTGAGCAGTTTTGTTTTGATTTTCCCAAAATTTAAACTCAACCTTCCTTATGGTGCAACGGTGATATATTTGATGGGCTTTTAAAATCGGATAAAAATTGAGAACTCTAAGCTAAAATTGTGCTTTTTGGAACAATCAGGGGCCATAATCCACAAAGCTATGTCTGATGTGCACGAATGTCAAAAGGAACCAAGATCTTTGGGATATAAAAATAGATTTTTAATTTTATCAAAATCAGATAAAATTTTAACATCTAGAAGGTCCACAAACTCGATATGACATACTTTTACACTATCTGCGTTCAAGGAGCTGCCATTTTGTTGGGCAATTTCGGTTCGATATCAAAAGGAACCAAGATCTTTGGGAGATAAACCTATATTTAAAGTTTCGTTAAAATCGGATGAAAATTGTGACCTGTAGAGTTTCTGCATACAGGGGCGACGACAATATAAATCCACATAAAAATGTGGGCGTATAAAAACTGAAATCACAATAGGCCTACTCAAATTTATATCGATTCAATAATCTTTTATCGAATAAAAATTGAAATCACTATAGGCCTACTCAAATTTATTTAGGCTCAATAATCTTTTAACTTTTAAAAATTGAAATCTCTATAGGCCTATTCAAAATTTAGGAAAAAAAGAAAAGTAAGTAATAGGCTATGTACTATTTTAGAGTTTGAATGTAGACTCCATCTTATATAATTAATATGTAGATTAATTTAAGGACTTGATGGTATGTGAGATCCGGAGTTAAAGATTCCACGTATATGTTCAGTGAGTCGCATCTTAGGGATTCTGATCACCCAGTCATTTGGCGGGTGTATGATATACGAGGTGATCTATGGATGCTAGTTACACCCGATCCTATGCATGTACGGCTTTCTAGATAGAAAGGGAGGCCATAAGTGGTCAGCACGAGTCTTCCTTGTATCTCTCCATCACAGTGATAGATCGAGATATGTAGGGTTTCATGTACCATCAAATGGGAGTTTCCTAAAATTTGATTGCTTTCAATTTTAAATATAGGTATCTGATTAAAACACACAATTCTTGGTCATGGGCTAGTGAATATTATTGTAAATTTAAGGTGACCAATAGAAAGATAACAAATCCCAAAATTACAAAACTATATTATTGTAGTTTTATTTCACACCATACACAAAGCGCATTCACAACTTGCACATTAGTAATTAAATGTAGCTCTATTGAATGTGTGTACATAATTTGAAGTCGGCTTCATCAAACATACAACTGATTCAATACGACCCTAGTTGTGTTTGTGTTAAACTATTACTACATTTATATTAAAAAGTGTTTTTGTTTTTTAATGTTTGTTTTATATGGGTTAATGTTTTATAGTTGTTGTAATTATTCATCTTGATTTATTAACCCATTGTTGTACCCAAGAGGCAATTACCAGAAGCCTATCTAATCCCTACAGATAATTATTCCAACATGCTTCCCTACCTATAGCTAGATAATTAGTGGATTTGTATTAATCCTAATTCACTCTTTATAAATGCAAATAACTAAAAAAAAACTAGTTTTAATACAAAGAAATACTTTATTACAAAAATGTACAGACTGTTGTTTACTTTTCAATGATATAAAATTATTTATATAAAGTAGCAATCATATTACTATAAATCATATTGACTTTTCTCTGTCATAATGGTAAAATAACATTAAGATTGCAAAGATACAGAAAAAAAATATTGCGATATCTCACGATATTGGTAAAATAGATTATCGTCTGGAGTAAATTATCGTGATAATTAGAATTCTTTGACATTTTTAATGCAATGCAGAGATAGTGCCATTATTCCCAATGGATTACTTCCCAAAACACCAGTCCAGTCTTTCCGCTAATCGAGAGAGAGAGAGAAATGGGGTTTAACGTCCACTCAACACAAACTAGGTCATTTCGGGACTAGCACATGGTTCAATTTTATTTCAATAATTCGCTTGCGCATAGGGGTCTTTAGCAGTAGGAGGAAACCGGAGGAGCCGGAGAAAACCCACGAGGTTGAACAGGCGACCCTACTCCTTGTCACGTACAACCGGGGAATCGAAACCCTGCCAGTTGACTCAATGACAGACCGTATGATACAGCGCACGTGCTAACCATTCGACTATCCAACCCCCCTTGCTGCTAATCAAAGCAAAGGTGTTAAGTTTTAATTGTATTTGATTGTTGTTGCATTGTATATATTTGCCTACTATTCACATACCCGTATCATTTGCTTGATAAAGACGAGAGTATCCTCGTCAATACGTCGCTTAGTATTAAACTCAGTAATTGTGTATCCATAAAATCGTAGCTTGTGTTAGAATTATCGTGCTTCTAAAATTCAATATCGTGATAATTACTGATATAAAATTGATATAACTTGAGGTGTATAAATGGATTAATGTACGAGTGTATCCATTTGGTATTTAGCAATGTATGTGAGATGCACTGATGAAGTGAGACATATATACATGTATAAATGCTGGGGTAAGATTAGTCCTGTAGGTATTGTCACATCAGATCATTCTATTCTGATCATCTGGAATGCCTGGAATACCGAATACTCAATATTCATTAACTCAATATCTGGTTAACAGACTTGTCGGGTGTTCTTTTTAAACTAAAATATCCCCATATGAGTGACAAAAGAAATGTTCTTTTTTGTGTCAGCAGCAGTGTATTTTCGCAGTCTGCCGAACTGTCATCAAAAAGATTTCGATTGACATTGACAGATTTAAGCTCGGAAGTCATTTTATTCAAAGAATAAAAGATTTATCCAGACGATTTTTCAATGTAAAATGTCAATGTAATTTTCAATAGACTGGGTAATCAACGATAAACCACCTGTTCATTACTATGGAGAACTGTATCATTAAGAGTAGGGGTATCCTTACTGTTATAATATCAATCATATTTATAAATATTGTGGATGCTTTCTTTGTGGGCTATGTGACCAGAATATATCAAAGCCTAGCCAACATGTGTATGATAACGATTAATATTATTCAGTGAAATGTACTTAATACATGAGACTAATGTCTGTCAGTTGGTCCTTTGCATTAAAATCGGCTGTCTCAAAGTCTTTTGTGGAATTTGGAAAATGGAATAGATCTAATATCGGCACTTGTTACAATTTGATTTCTTCTTCATTTTTGGAGTATTTGGAACGGATTTAACGTGAATTGTGATCAAAAATGAAAATATCACGATCCATTAATTTACGGTCCGATATGCACGAATAATGAAAGGAACCCAAGAATTTTTAGATATAAACTTATATTTTAAGTTTCATCAAAATCGGATAAGGCCATTTTTTCAGTTTGATTTTCACAAAATTCGTATTCAACTGTCATTATAGTGTAACGGTGATATATTTGAACATTTTTTAAATTGGAAGGTCCACAAGCTAAAAACTTGATCTTTCCTGCCTTCAGGGGCCATAATTAAGAAAGTAACGGTCCGAGATGCGCCAATATCAAAAGGAACAGAGATCTTTGGGTTATAAATATATAGTTTAAGTGTCATCAAAATCAGATCACAATTATGACCCCTAGCGTGTTCACAAGCTAAAAACATGATTTTTTGTACAATCCAAGGGCTATAATCTATAAAGTTATGGTCCGATATATGCAAATATCGAAAGATATATCGAAAGGAACAGAGATCTTTTTGATATAAACCTATTTTTCAATTTTGTCAAAATTGGAAAGACCAATGGACGGACAGACACAGCCATAATATACGTCAACATGAAAATGTGGGCGTATAAAAATAATAATAATTCTTACACCCTTTTTATAATGGAAACATGATTTATTAAATCTTAAATTATCCAGATCTTTGTAATAATAATAAAAAAAATGTGTAGTAAATTGTTTAGCCATATCAACTCTAATTTCTAAATGAAATGGTTCTTAGCATCATAAATTTGCCAATAGTGTAACATTATTCTGTAAGAAGAGTGCCTGCTGTGAACACAATACAGGTAATAATATGTATCCTTGATGACATGAAACATCAAAACAAAAATCCAAATAAATATACATAATTCCTACCTTCTTTCTTCTTCATGAGACAGAACTTCCCCACAACCAAGTTTTTCATCAATTACTAATCTACGTTTTTGTAATTTATCACGACTATGTTTCAACTTTTGCATTTCTTCTTTTACAACAGATCTTCTATCTTCTGGTACTTCGCCATATTCTTTCTTCTTCTCATCTATTCGTTTTTCTATAGAATCTAGTTTACTAGACATTGTTACCAGGTCCTGGGCAAACATAATAAAATAGATATCAAATATATCCAGTTCCAGTGATAAATTTGTTAACAAGCATGATTATAAATAAACATTTGTCAAAACTTGGAAAAATTTGAATTGTAAGCTCTATGACATATAATAGCCATGAGGTTGTGATTGTCAAAATACCAAATTATATTCAACGATTCAGGTCAATATGCAAGAACCACAAATATTATTAATAGTATAAACTTCCCACTAAAGAATTTAAAGAGGGATTACCATTTCTAACAAGGAAATAAATGTAATATATTTGTTATACCATATTCAAAATAACTGTATAGACGCACCTTAATTACCAAAAATCCAAGCCCTTCTTTACTTCAGTGCATTTGATAGAGAGAGAGAGAGAGGGGATTTAACGTCCACTTGTCACAAACTGGTCATTTTGGGACTAACATATGGTTCAATTTTATTTAAATAATTCGCTAGCGCGTAGGGGTCTTTGGAAGTGGGAGGAAACCGAAGAACCCGGAGGAAATCCACAAGGTTGGACATGCGACTCTACTCCTTTTCACGTACAACCAGGAAATCGAAACCATGCCAGTTGACTCAATGACAGACCTTATGATACAGCACGCACATGCTAACCATTTGGCCATCCAACCCCCCAGTGCATTTTGTACAAGTGCCACTATATACTCAAATCACAATTTGAACCGAATGTTGAATTAAGATCACTAACGTCTTTTTAAGCTTTAGAAAAATAAGATTCTTTCAATCAAGACTTACCTTGCTTAGCATCTGACTTGAACGAAGTTTCTTGATTTCTAATTCACTCTTCTCTGACAATATGGCCTCCTTTTTAACAATGATATCTTCCCTCTTTCTCAACTCCTGATAAAGGAGAAATAAACCAAAGTTTAATAAGCTGACAACTCCCAACAAATTAAAATATACCTTATCTACATATCAATATTGTAAACAGATATTTATAGTTTTCTAGAACTTGAAGATTCTCTATATATTCTGAATAAAAAATGTGAGATATTGAAATTACCTCTTGTAATCCTTCCATTTGTTGTCTTTGTTGTATTATTTTGTCCATTTCACCATCTAGCCATCGTTTCTGTTCTTCTAGTTTCTCTAACTGTTCCCTGACATTGAAAATATCAAAAATATGTATTATTTCAGGTATTTGCTTGTCCTATGGAAATGATTTACAAAAATTGCATATAAGGAGATTTGAATTTGAAGATAAAGGAGAGTTGAAATTGAATTTGAAAATAAGGTCATTTGAATGTAAATTATATATTGTGGGGTGCCCCACTGCACACAGTCAAAATATTAGAGTCTCCAAAGCTCCTTCATTAGCAAGAATTACTAGTAGTATTTTCCTTTTGCTTTTACAAGGCTCTCAAAACAAGGAGTTACGAAATTAGATTTATTGATCTAGCTTTCTGTAATGTTTCCTAGACAATAGTCTTGTTTTAGTATCGCCCGTCAATCAGCAACGGTTGTAGACTGGTTAAGCAGGTCTAATTTCAAACCAAAGGCATGTAATCTATTTCACACTCAAAAATGCCCAGATGTAATGGCTGCTTGTGGTTTACATTTCCAGTATATTTTTCTATTGAAGTTTAAATGGCTGTTTATTTAATGACTATAAATGTGAGAAAGTAAGTTGAGACTTGTTATATAACGGTATATAGATGGTCAAAATATTTGGAGATACCTATTTATGGAAGGGCACCCTAATACTGGACAGTTTATTAATAGGCTTTTAACAAGTTATTAGTCTCAATCATTCAGTCTTGTGATATTACACATCATTATGAAACATCATTAATCAAGCAGACTTATCCCCTCTATCAAGTGATTTTAAAGCTTACACTTTGCTTTTTATAAAATTTATCTTTCTTAAGTCATGACATATTAAAGTAGTTCAACTACTATTGTTAGCTGCATCTAGAACTGCACCTTACGCTAAGCTGATTAAACTTATCCAAAAGTGAGGTTTAATCTACAGCAAAGATGAAGTACAATTTTATACAACTTACATCTGTATAGGAGGTAAAGAACCAGATCTTAGTCGTCTTTGAGCAGCAGCTATTTCTTCATTCTTCCTTTTTAATATTTTCTGTTGTTGTTCATTCTTTATTTCTAATTCTTTTACTTTCTGTAATTCTTTTTGCATATCTCTCTGCAGAAAAATAAATAAACAAATTAAATTTTAAAATTCCAATTTTTCAGCAATAAGACATTTCATGTTTTATTTTATTTTCTCAGAAAAAACTATATCATTTTGATTAACAAGATGTTTAGCACAAGCAGAAATAAACCCATTACTTACTTCTATTCTTGACTTCTGTTCTGTTTCATCTTTAAGTTTTTTATGAAGATGGTCTTGCTGTTGTTTCATTCTATCAACAGCTAATTGTAAATCTTGAATTCTAAGAAAAGATACATCAGTCAATTGAAAGTAGAATGTATTTTGAAAGATAATACAATGTGTATAAAGTTAACAATGTCTGACGAATATTGATAGGGGTGCTTAATGAGGAATACCTAATATTTTTTACTATCAGGTATCCGGCCCAATAATTCAACTACCCATCTCTATCTTTAGGAATTTGATTCTTAATGTCAGATCAGAAGATTTTTTTTTAAATTTTAGGTCTTTAAACCAATAAATGAGAATAGTTTTTAATAATTTAACCATCCACTGAGGTAGAAAATAACAATTAAATCCTTTAGAGGCACTTAGTAACTGGATAGACCAATAGACTATAACACTTACTTACAGAAGAACAATTATTTACAAAATGTGTTGACTACAGATACTGTATAAACAATTTACTTATTAAAATCAATACAAAAGACAGACAGATTAATTTTTTTACTTACTTTTTCTCATTTTGCTCTGCAAAATCTACAACCTTTTTTGTATCCCTTTGTTTCTGTTGTAAAGCTGTCATTTTACTTTTAGCAGCATCAATTTTCTTCTTATATTCACTATAAATAAATACACAAGAGAACCTATATTCCTTATCAAATAATAACATACAATTTATCTTTGCTGTGAAATGAATTCTAAAATATTTGTTTACTTTATCATTTCCCTTGTAAAAATGATAATGGAAAAATTTACTAAACATAATTTTTTTCACAATATCTGCTTTTGAGATTCTAAACATGAATTACAGTATAACACAAATGAAATCAACCATTCCTACAAAAAAGCTCACGTTTGTAGTTTCTGTTTTTCAGCCGTTTCTTGGTGTTCTTTATGTTCTAAATCTTGTAAAGCCCTCTGTGTACCTTGTAATTCCTTCTCTACTATTTGTTTCATCTACAAAAAAAAACCCATATTACATAAATAGAGATGGTTGACATTCACAAGGTATCATGTTCTTAATAGTCTTTCTAGAACATTAGGGTATAGTTAACAGTTTTTTACTTTGGTAAAGTATCGCATTGTAATATAATCTTATCAAGCTTCATTACAAATTAAGAAAAGTGACTATGTAAACAATTTAAACAATTCATGTTAAGCTTCAATATAATTTAAAAATAAAATTCATAAAACTTCCATTTATGAAAAGTTGCTTTATTAAATTGTAAACTATCCTTTGAACTAATTCATACCTTTTCTAGACTTTTAATTTTTTCTTCATACTGTTTATTCATAAGTTCTGCATCTTTACCAGTTTTAACTAGTTCACATATAAGTTGTTCTTTCATTCTAAAAAAGAATATTTAAAAAAACAAGCTAATGTTATAATCTTTAAGTGGCATTTAGTAATTGAGAAACACATTAAAAGAACACAATTTTAATAGGAAACAATCACTGGTTCATTATATATCGGTAAGCACAACCTTTCGACAAGTACCCGCTCATTGTTGTCAAGTCTTTTAAGTTACTGTTACACAAACTAATAACACAGAGGATCTAGAAATCATAATATAATTGAAACTATAAAATCTCTTATCCATATCATGAGAAACATTAAAGACCATTTACGCTATAAAATTTCTTTTTAAAGTAAAATTATGAACTTAGCCAACCTAATATTAATTGAGAGATCTCTCATCTTCTGATTTGATTCAAGAACTTTAAGTTGAGCTTGTTTTATCTTTTTCTTTTGTATTTCTGCACTTGTTCGTGTTTCTATATTGGTGTACGTTAAACGACTTTCTTGTTGTCGTCCATCTTGCATATCCATACTGTGATCTAAAATTCTAGTACTTGATCTCACATCTACAATTTTAAGACACATCAAATTTATTTCTTAAAATTAAAATTGGGCTTATTATAAATTTTTAACCTTTTGGAGTATAATATTCTTAAAATTCACTTGATTTAATAGCTCTCTGATGCTTTTCTATTCATATTAGAGTAGTGTGTTACAATTTACCTTCATTTTATACATGACTGGGTGATTGAGTGACACAATGAACTGTATACTGTATGATCAAACTGATCATTTTTATTTATTTATATCAATCTGTATCAAGTATTAATACGATGCTGGATAAAATTTCGAAAACTGTGTGAGAGAGAGAGAGAGAGAGAGAGAGAGTTTAAGGTTCACTCCTAGGTCATTTCGGGACTAACATATGGTCAATTTTATTTCAATAATTTGCTTGCGTGAAGGGGTCTTTAGAAGTGGGAGGAAACCGGAAGAACCGGAGAAAACCCACAAGGTTGGACAGGCAACCCTACTCCTTGTCACATACAACCAGGGAATGGAAACCAAGCCAGTTGACTCAATGACAGACCTTTCAGTATCTACAAAGTTATGTTAAATTGAAATTTCACCGACCAATGCTGCTCGAGCATAAGACTTTGCCATCATATATCGTTAGCAGAAAAACCTGATGGGCCTAGTTTAAATCCGATTGAATCCAAGTCGGGAGATTATCTAGCGTTGGTATTTTGAGTCTGTTGTCCTAATTAAATGTAAAATAATCAATCTGAGTACATATTTAGTGTGTCTTAAGCCATAGGAAATGTGATATTTCAGCAAAAATGCAAACAGCCCATCTGGACTTTAATGACGTAATAAACAAAGCATGATTTACCAGATGGATTATTACCGTCTACAGTAGCATTTCTACAACCACCTTTCTTCACTCTAAATGTTCCTTTTCTAACAAACTGACCTTCCACATCCCTGTTATAAAATATCAAGATTCATTAAGACATTTCATAAAACATTCATCAATTCAATCCCCTTATTTTAATTCTTTCAAGATAAACGAAAATTTTAATACTTAGCACAATCCTTAAAACATATCATTACATGCAAGACCTATTTTTCGGCACTGACTGGGCAAATGCCACACAGTGTGCTATGAGGGAAATCTTGCCTCGACAGCTTCACTATGCCTACGCTTATATCAAATTTCAATTGTCAAGGGTTCTTTTACGTGCACAGCAATATGTACACCAGATTTGTTTTCCGCACCTAAACGGCTCCTGGTATTCCTTGAAAAATAGAAAAGATGTAATAACACTCACCCTTCAGAATCACTATATGAACTATCATCACTAAATGTCTGATGTAAAACATCGTCATGATCCTCTAATCTACTCACTAATAACTGACTACGCGCGCGAAAACTCTGCATAACTCGCTCTAAAGAAAAAAGAGCCGGACTTGTCTTTATGTTCCGAGATAACGGTCGATTACCATTCTGTAAATAAAACCAGTACTATATTATCTAATCGTCATTCATATCCCAAGTTAATATAAGAAATCAGGAAACATGTATCCCGCTGATGTACCTATTTTTCGTTATTTTTTGTGTTAATCATATAATTACTAAACGATCACAAATTACCAAGAATTATTTTTGTTGAAGTCTGGTTATACTAAAGGGAGAATCACCCTATTTCTTACTGTGACTTCTTTTCAACCCAATTTTGGCCTCTGGCCCATTCATTTCAAAATGGATTAAGAACCCTGGTTGAAAGCCACTGAAAATGACATGGTATGTTATATGTATGGTTTGCGCTGAATTTAGATGGAAAGATATCTTGTCAAAGTTATCTTTTTGTGTAGAACTGGGCTACTGGTATATTTAGTAATTAGCCCAGGTGGCTACTGCTCCTTGGAAGTAAAGTTTTGTCTCCGGTCTTTAGTAGCGCTAGGAAACCGAAGTACACAACAAATCTTGTCATGTACAAAAGCCGGCTTTAGACCATTCAACCACCCAACCCCCCACTTCTGTTAAGACATTCTGATTTGATATTATGCATGTTGAAAATAAATAATTGAGATAAAAATATTATCATTGTAAACATACATTACTAGGTTGTCTGTGTAGATGAACTGGAACAGATTTAGGACGTCGACTAGACGTTGGTTGTCTGTCTGTAATTGTACAATCACTGTCTATAATACTGCTCTGTCGTACCAAAGCACTCTGTAATATCAAGTTATATATTTCAATTGATTATGCTATTTGATATGTACTACAACTTCTTTTGACACTCTATGTTCTGTATCTACAAAGAAACACCAACCTTTAATGCTTTCTGAAGTTCTTCTATTTTAATCTGTTGTTGTAAGAGTTGCTGTTCCTGTTTCTGAACAACTTCTTCTGATAATAACAATGCATTTGCTGTATCTTCAGCTGCATCTTCCTGTGAATTCAAAAAAACTTCAGGGCTAGAAATTTATGCGAATCTCTGAATCTAATTCGAACAAGGATTCCCGCACGAGCTTACGCTGAGAATCTACAAGGATTCGAGTAAAGTTTTTGTAAAAGGGAAAAAAAAAACCTCAGAGAATTGTCAAGTCCGACTATTGAATTTCAGTCAGTGCAACTCCATTTACATTTGTATTTATGAATTGAATTTCAGTTACGATAAAAATGTATTTGTTTCCTAATTATTTATTGTAATCCCTGTTAAATAATATTTAAAAGAAACTACTTTAGCAGGCCTGCCTTGAAACAAAATAATTTTGGGTTCCATTTTATCCTTTCGAGCGATTTGATTCCACTAGTTGCACATCAATATAATGAGGTTAAATTGGGTCATTCCAATTCTATTCTGTCACTGTCAAGGTTGGCCACTTGTTTTGGTTTTTTTTTCACTTTCTTTTGTGCGGATATATTCCTTTATTATATTCCTTTGTGCAGTTATCAATTGAAATTCCGGGCATTTACATGGCTTTTGGAAGCAAAATTAAAGCTGTATCTAATTAAAGAAACTGTTATGAAATGGAGTAAGGAACTAAATGAAAACTACAAGTTTATGTTTGATTCTGAAAATAAACATGATTGTTTTATTTTTATCATTGTTGTTGTAGTTTGGTGTTTTAGATTAACACAATAAACACTATTTTGTTTTTTAGACAGTATTACTAATAACGGTAAGCTTTGTAGGATTCACGCTGATTGCATATATATGAGAATCCTCTTAAATTCTCGCAAAAAATGACGAATTTCTAGCCCTGAACTTTTTGATAGATGTTCTATTTAATAAACTTTTGACTTCTTTTTAAATGTGCTATTCTACTCTCTGAAATAGTTACATTTTCCAGACAGTGCATACAGTATCAAATGTTGCTTTTGTATCTGATATTTAGAAGTTCGGACATAAAACCTTCACTTTTAAATTAATATCAGAGTTAATGTAACCATCCTGGAGAACCTGATTGTTATGTTCAACAACTTGCTTGTCAAGGAGGTGATCATTTCATCTTAACTAAACTTGAAATTAAAATAAAGCAGCGATCTTGAGAACATCAGACGGAATGTTGAGAAATATTCATTTGAAAGAATTTTAGAAATCTAATTAAAACTGTTGTTTTACACTACATAAAAGATCTAATTAGTCCTTTATTTATTTTCTGTTTTCCTTGAAGTCTGATTTAAGAGCCATTATAAAGCCATTTCTACTGCTAAATGACAATTTTAATCAAATTGTACAAAGCAATAACTAACCAATTGAACTATTCTATTTGATAAACTATTCATTTCTTTGGCCTTTTCTGAAAATATTTCTTCATCACTGACAAGATCTGCTCTACACTAAAATATAAACATTAATATATCATAAGTTAATAAGCACAAAAAACATATAGAAAGTGTAATATACTATTCAAAAAAAGTAGGGGATATTTGATTTTGGGGGCATAATACTAAAATATGCAAATGACTACGAAAAAAGTCACTATAGAACCTAACAGAAGAAACATTTCCAGTTACATGTGACGCCCAAACGCACCAATAGCTACCGCATGGAATGCAGGTGATGCTTGGGATCATCATGGGGGTCCAACCCAAGATTTGCACGACTCTGACTTTGAAAGTTACAGTCATTGTGGCATTGAATTCCAGGGTGGAAACATCAGTTTAATTGTTTTAGTGACCAGAAAACAAATTTTGATATGCGTCGGCTTACCCAAAATGAAAGGTTACGTGCCCTTGGCATGCTACAGATCGGCACAACACAGGCGGTTGTGGCGCGGACGATGAATGTTTCTCAGTCTGTCATAAGCAGGCTATGGTCCAGATACCGTGATACACAATCTGTACAGGACAGACCACGCTCAGGTCGACCAAGGGCGACAACTCAAGCCCAGGATCGATTTATCCGTACCTTGGCCTTGAGAAATCGTGTCATCACAGCAAATCAGATCAGCGCTCGTCTTCAAACAGACACTGGTGTGAGAGTGAGTGGCCAGACGATTCGGAATCGACTGCATAGGGGTCACCTTCGCGCCCGACGTCCTCGCGTGATCCCTTGTTTGAGAGATCATCACATTCAGGCAAGACGTCGTTGGTGTAGGGATCGTCAACACTGGGATAATCAACGCTGCAGCAATGTGATGTTTTCAGATGAGTCAAGGTTCACTGTTGATTTTTTGGACAGACGTAGGAGGGTGTGGCGTCGTCGAAACGAGCGCTTCCAAGACGTTAACGTCATCAGACATGATCGATTTGGGGGTGGTTCTGTTATGGTGTGGGGAGGCATCACTGTTGCTGGAAGAACGGCTTTACATGTTGTTGCAGGGCGTGTTACAGGCCAGTACTACCGGGACAACATCTTGGCAGTCCATGTTGTGCCGTTCGCACGACGTCATGGCCGCCGTTTCATCTTCCAGGATGACAACGCAAGATGTCACAGGGCCAGGATCGTTACAGGTTACCTCCAACAACAGAACATCACCACATTACCTTGGCCAGCACTGAGTCCCGACCTCTCCCCCATCGAGCATGTCTGGGACATGCTTGGACAGAGGTTACGTCAACGTCAACAACGTCCTGCCAATGTCCAAGAACTTGCTGCTGCGTTGCAACAGGAATGGGACAATCTGGACCAAAATGACCTTAGACGTCTCATTAGGAGTATGCCACGTCGGATCAATGCTTGTTTGGCAAACAGAGGAGGATTTACCCGTTACTGACTTGGTTGTGATGCTGTGGTAACTTTGCTGTTTGACCCCGGGTATCATTTTACCCTTATAATGGTCAGTCTGTGCCTTACTTAGTCTAACGATCATTTGGAATAAATCGATGAATGTGAACTTCATTTCATTTTGTCATTTGTTTCTTCGTCAGTTTCATTAGGTGACTTTAATAACACTTAAAAATCAAATATCCCCTACTTTTTTTGAATAGTATATTATTATCATTTAAAATCTGCAGCAACTTAATTTACATACACAACCAACAGTTCACATCAGAACCAGTAATGGCATTAATGCTTGTCTTCAATTGTATTAGATTTCATTCTTCTTAGTCCTTTTTTAGCATACAATCTCTTCACTGGTTAATAGTTGGGCGGTTAAGCAAAAAATCGTGCACTTTGGGTTAAAAGCATGAAACTTGGCACATAGATGGCATCAACCCTACTGATTATTTTGGGATGTGGATCCACCTCAGCAGCCCCCCCTGGTGGTCGTTACGGGTATCTTTTCCAAAATGGCCGCCTATTCATTGATATTCATATAACAAGGGGTGTCACAATAAGACATTTTTTTACAAATCATTTCAGGCCAGCAATTTCCAGATGCAAAATTGCTAGCTGAACACGATTTTTGAAAAAAGATTTATCTATGACGTCATTTTCGTTTGGGGTTTGCCTGATTTCAAAAATGGCCGCCAAAATTTGAAGAAAAATGAATTTCCAGATAGGATGGGTGATTATCACGCAATGTATGCCTTGTAATATATCAAATATAAGGTTTTTGTTGTAATTGAACTGAAAAATAATCTCTAAAACTAGTTTCCCCAAAGATGGCGGAAATTCAAAATGGCGGCCAAAATATACCCAAAATGGCGGATTGATCAGATTAAAATCATTTCACTGTTTGATTTGGTTTGTAATATATAATTTAAAGGGTTTACATTGTCACTGAACTTAAAATTAATCTAAATAAAAAAATGGTTTCCAAAATCCAAGATGGCGGAAATTCAAAATGGCAACCAACATTTATCTAAAATGGCCGATTTGTCAGATAAAAGTCATTTCACTCTTTGATATGGTTTGTAATATGTAATATAAAGAGTTTTCAAAGTCATTGAACTTAAAATCAAACTAAAATAAAAAAGATTTTCCAAAATCTAAGATGGCGGAAATTCAAAATGGCGGCCAGAATTTTCCAATAATGATCAAATTTTAGGATAATCGTGAATTTTCTGTTTGATATGCCTTGTAATATGTCCTCTATTAAGTTTTCAGAGTCAGTGAATTATCATATTAAGTTTTCAGAGTCAGTGAATTTGATAATTGTAGATGATTGTTTCAGAAAAAAAGGGGCAATAATCAATCTTTCTATTGGATTGGTTTATAATAGCAAAGTGTAATAGTTTTTCGAGGGCAACTGAAATTGACTGGACTCAGGAATCTACCCGTCAGTCAATTAACCATGTGCAGAACTTACCAGTCAGCTAATTAGAATTTCAAAGAATTTAACCTTAAGACACAATAAATGTAGTTTAATTGTTTTATGCATTAAAACAAATGATGCTAATGATTATATTAAGAATTGACACATTCTTTGGATAAAATATCTGGTTATTCCGACCCTCCACCCCCACCCCATAACAATACAACAGGGCCAACTGAGGCATTTTAATTTCATCTCCTTTGCCTTTGCACCATTTTACCGGAGTGAGAATCATTTATGGTATTTGCAGTTGTAAAGAATTTAAGTTCTCCTCTTCGTTCAGAAATGGTAATGTGATCCGTTTTTGCATCGGAAGACTCTGTGTCCAGTAACTTTTGTGGTAGAATTTAGATGTGGTATCCACAGGTAATTTTCTTCAGTGACATATTTCACAAGTTCTACATGTAAGAACAACACATTAGAAAAGAGGAAATCAAGGGGGAAGACTTTTGGGATATCTATACTAGTCGTAAATGCATTTCAAATTATTTTCGTGATGATTATTTTTAAACTTAGAACTTGGTGTGCAATACATTAGAGACGAAAATGATCTGTGGATAGTGGATACCATATTTAGACTATACCACAAACGGTTTCCGGCCATAAGTATTCTGAACCAGTGAAAAGTGTAAAATGAATCATCAAAGTCCGGCAAATTTTGTCGTATAGTCTAAATATGGTATCCACAGATCATTTTCATCTGTAATGTATCGCACACCAAGTTCTAAGTTTAAAAATAATCATCACAAAAATAATTTGAAATTCTTAACAACTGCATATACCATAAATGATTCTCACCCTGGTAAAATGGTGCAAAGACAAAGGAGATGAAATTAAAAATGCCTCAGTTGGCCCCGTTGTATTGTTATGGGGTGGGGGTGGAGGGTCGGAATAACCAGATATTTTCTCCAAAGAATGTGTCAATTCTTAACATTATCATTAGCATCATATGTTTTAATGCATAAAACAATTAAACTACATTTATTGTGTCTTAAGGTTAAATTCTTTGAAATTCTAATTAGCTAAGTTCTGCACATGGTTAATTGACTGACGGGTAGATTCCTGAGTCCTGTCAATTTCAGTTGCCCTCGAAAAACTATTACACTTTGCTATTATAAACCAATTCAATAAAAAGATTGACGATTGTCTCTTTTTTTCTGAAACAATCATCTACAATTATCGAATTCAGTGACTCTGAAAACTTAATAGAGGACATATTACAAGCCATATCAAACAGAAAATTCACAATTATCCTAAAATTTGATCATTATTGGAAAATTCTGGCCGCCATTTTGAATTTTCGCCATCTTAGGTTTTGGAAACTCTTTTTTTAGATTGATTTTAATTTCAATGACTTTGAAAACTCTTTATATTACATATAACAAACCATATCAAAGAGTGAAATGACTTTTATCTGACAAATCGGCCATTTTAGATAAATGTTGGTTGCCATTTTGAATTTCCGCCATCTTGGATTTTGGAAACTATTTTTTTATTTAGATTAATTTTAAGTTCAGTGACAATGTAAACCCTTTAAATTATATATTACAAACCAAATCAAACAGTGAAATGACTTTAATCTGATCAATCCGCCATTTTGGGTATATTTTGGCCGCCATTTTGAATTTCCGCCATCTTGGATTTGGGGAAAATAATTTAAGAGATTATTTTTCAGTTCAATTACAACAAAAACCTTATATTTGATATATTACAAGGCATACATTGCGTGATAATCACCCATCATATCTGGAAATTCATTTTTCTTCAAATTTTGGCGGCCATTTTTGAAATCAGGCAAACCCCAAACGAAAATGACGTCATAGATAAATCTTTTTTCAAAAATCGTGTTCAGCTAGCAATTTTGCATCTGGAAATTGCTGGCCTGAAATGATTTGTAAAAAAATTTCTTATTGTGACACCCCTTGTTATATGTATATCAATGAATAGGCGGCCATTTTGGAAAAGATGGCCGTAACGACCACCAGGGGGAGCTGCTGAGGTGGATCCACATCCCAAAATAATCAGTAGGGTTGATGCCATCTATATGCCAAGTTTCATGCTTTTAACCCAAAATGCACGATTCTACCAAAAATTCTTCCTTAACCGCCCCACTATAAGGCTAAACTTTGATCACTCAGCCAGTGAAAAAAGCGTATTGTTTTAGGAAATAGGCTCCACATCCTTTGACATTAGTTCTTTCCAGGACTATATAGCAAATGAAATGAAATGATGTTTAACATCCATGTGTTCTGCTCCTACTGGGCTAATGAAGACAAGCATGTCATACATTGTTTTATTATTAGGGAAATTTTGCCTAAACAGCAGTGCTACAGCCTACTCTTACGTCGAATTCCAAGTGTTTAGGGTTCTTTTTGCACCATCCTAACAACTATACTTTGTCTCTTGCCAGGCCCTCCAGTTTGTACCACTCACAAGGGGGAACCATGCCGGAAAATCCTTATGAACTTTCTCAGCTAACACAGGGATCGAACATGAGACCTCCAGGTGAGCAAGTTGTGTATAGTTGTGTATTTGATATTTAGAAGTTCAGACCTGAAATCTGAACTATTTCAAAATAATATCAAAGGTTAATGTAACCATCCAGGAGAACCAGCTTGTTAATGTTCAACAACCGGCTTGTCAAGGAGGTAGTCTGTCATCTAATTTTCAAACAACTTACAGATATTTACCTTTTTGAGCTGATGTTCTAATTCTATTATGGTTTTATTCTCCATCTCACCCGGTGTTAGTGTTGATGGAACTTTATTCTTGATCTATAAATAATTTCAAATAATTTCTAATTATTCATACTGTTTTAAGATAAATTACCCAGAAACTAAAATTTCCTGCAAAAAATTTAAGACCAATTAAGTACAAAAATCTTTGAGATGTATTTTGATCATCATTTAATAAAATATCATGTAACCAACCTCTTCCATTAGTTCAAGCCAATCTTTTAGTCTAAAATCCTGACTTTTCGTTAAAATATCCCGTTCTTGTATCTCCATTAGTTGTTTATAAGCTTCTTCTGCAATCATTCTATAATGAGCACATTCTGTCTGCAGCCTAAAAGAGAACTGATCTTGAATGAATTGATTCCTGGATATATAATGTTGATATTTAGAAGACATTTTTACACCACTTTGTATTACTATTTATAGAATGCAACCAACCAACAAAATATAGAATAAACAGTATAAGAACACAGAATAAATGATGTTGGGGTTATGTATGTGTTAAAGAAGCTAAACCTCTTTGATTTAGTTCAAAATGAAAGTGTTGAATTGCCCTGATCTGATGTGTAGTGCTCCTACGACTAGTCGGATAGCCGTAAACGGTTAGAACTGGACGGTTAAACGGTTTGAATTCAACGTTACGGTTATTCGGAGATGTCCCCCATTACATAGAGTTGTGTCTGATTATATTCCTCTTTATAACAAAACTTGCCCGTTGTAATTTTGTATTTGATGTTTGAAAATTTTAGAATGTAACAGTCGTCCAACGATGTCGACTGCTAAACAATGATACTATTAATAGCACTCGTCGTAGTCATACGGCAAAGTCAACGGCCCTTGTTCGTCTTTTGCTATTGTTAATCCAATCTAAATACTTCTCGGCATTTCTAACTATATTCTACCTTGTTTATTATTTACTTCAAAACGTAACCACCATTCAAAATATAATCATAAAGGCTAGAAAATGACATTATACTAGATTCGTTACGGCATTGAACACGTTTCATATCTCATAATTTCTCGAATGAATTCTACTTTGGTTTTCAGTTAAATTAACCAATCATAAAAATTCTACTTGCAAGCGAGGAATTATTTCTTTATTGTCCAATCAATAGACGCCTTCTAATTTACTTTATTCTATTCTTAGTAACATTGTGTAATCGTAATATTATCGCCGTCTGTCACGTACGAAGGGAAATTGAGTATTGTTTTGTATATTATCGTTATATTGAATTAAAAAAAATGTTTCAAATGAACCAAGTTAACCAGGTAAATAAATAGCTATGGCCTTAGATAGTTTAAATTTTCATTAAAGAATTGTTCATGTCTGAAAAAATTCCTGAAATTTTTGCGCGTGTAATGCCTTTTATAAGGCGAGTATAGCGTGCACACGAGTAATGACTCGTAGCTCCTGACAAGCTCTGTTTTATGTTAAAAATTGATACCATACGGTTAACGGTTACTAACCGGTTAATAGCTACAGCTATTCGAATAACAAAAAGTCCTAACCGTAGGAGCACTACTGATGTGTTATTTTGATTAGTCACGGAACAAGATTCAGGCAACTAAAATGTTGTTTCAAAATATTTTCCAGATGACATGTGGTTTACTCATTTTAGTTTCATTTCGAGTTTAAACTGTCATCTGTTGACCATAAAATTAGTTATTTATCAATGTTGGCTTTAACTGTGCATCTAAAACTGTGTATCTAAGTCTCTAACTCAATATCTTCCATATTGAAAACATAAATTATTTGTTAATTTAAATCAACATTGATGTTGTAGTCTTACCGGGAAAAGATGGGCTTCTGATATCCAATATTTAAGACAAAATAAATTTTTTACCATTGGTACACAAACAGTGTATCATAATGCGTTTCAGCGCCATTTGTAACAAGGGACTCGAAGAATGAGGCTAGACATATTCCACAAGTCATGTCAAATGGTGAAGTCATATTCTTATCTGGAAAGCATACGCAATAAATACTATCGGTGTAGACTGGAATAACCAGACACTAGAGACTGCCATTCGATTGAGACTTCTGGCGTATTTTGCCGAACATAACTGATTTGAAATTAGAGTAAAAACGGAAACAACTGAATGTAAATCAGTTTATATACATTCATATTACATTATTATATGCGTTGTGACCCATTTGTGTAAAGTTCTAGGTCTCAAATATTAGCGATTTAGTTCCTTCAAATATACACAGATAACAAATAAAAACATTAAATTTAATCAACTCGACACCCAATGTGAACTTGTATAATTCTTCTTTTAAATTTAAGCTGTTGCACTTGATGGTTTGATAGTTGGTTCTTATAAAACTACAATAATTACCTTATAACACTGTCCTCTAAGTCTTTAATATGATTTGCATCCTGCATAGCTCTCTCCATGTTACAATCACCGCCTGCAGCACTCAACACAGATGTTCTTTGTCGAGATAATTCTTCTCTCAAAGCCTAAATATTCATAAAATAAAATTAAGAAACTACCAAGTTATACCTTACACCACATATCTTCTATTAGAAACTATATGCAGTGAAGACAGATACTGCTTCATATTATAGCAAAATTAAATCAAGTACTCATAATTTAATCCCGAACATTTTAGTATGCGCTAAATAACTGAAAATATTTGTGGCATACATCGACTACAGTTATACTTTGAAACCAATCAGCCAACTCATCAGCTCATCATGAAACATGACATTTATTCAAATAGTGCGAATGGCTATAATTGTTTGTCTTCTAATTAAAACATTAAAAGTCTAATTATACCTTTATTTCACTTTGCATTTCTTCAAATCTAATTGACTGAATATCACGATTTATTATTGGTTTATTCTTGATATTTCTGGCCTGAAAACACAAATAAATTATTCCATGTTTGACACATGAATTGCACTATGCCAATAAGGAGCACCCACCTGTTTTTACTGGAACTGAAATAAGTGGCCAATACCCTTTTCCACCGCTGCAGAAACTATTAAGTAATGATAAATTTCAATCTTTGAGTAAGATTTCAATGTTCAGAAAAATGGAATCATGTTGTTTAAGGTATAAAGAATCTAGGCACCCAGACAGACAACAAATACAATATCTTATACCATACACAAAGGCAATAGGGTGTTTTTAATTTGATGTCATACAAAATATTTAGTAATATAAGTGACAAGACATAAATTTCCTATAGTGGCTCCATTTAATCACAACAGAAAAACATTTTTCTGATTTATTAGAAACTTTTTTTAATCAATTTTACTCACCCTATTAGCATATTTCAGTGCATTCAATGATTCATCAAAGTTGGATGCTGCGGGACTAATACAACAGATCATTAAAGTTTTAGCATTTCCACCAAGAGAATCCTGTCAAAAAAATTCAACACCATTAATAATAATGTTTAATGACTCTAAATTTTCGGGATTAATCGTCACTGGAAGTTAATATTAATGTCTACTGATTTCAAGCTGCTATCCTTATGCCCCTGTGACCATTTTACAACTGTTCCTATCAAAGTTTAACTTAAAAATGTAGTAACAAAGTCAATATTTGTGACCCGTCCTGGCAAAATGAGTCACAATGAGTTATTGTTATTTTCATTTTCCACCTCAAAAGTTTCAAAATGATGTATGGTTTGTCTGAATTGGGCAAAAATTGACTGAGCAATATCTGTTTAAATTTGCCAAAGTCAGAAAAGTAAGTTTTGAGAAAAAGCAAGTTAAAGATTTTGGTATGTTTCAATACTAATTCACATAGCAACGATGCCATTTATATGTTATTAATTTATCGTTTAATAGTGATAATATAATTTGAAACAATAATATCCAATTAGGTATGCTTGTATATTTTACATGCCATTTGATAGAGAGGGAGAGAGAGAATGGGGTTTAATGTCCACTCGGTCATTTCGTGACTAACATATGGTTCAATTTTATTTCAGTAATTCGCTTGCGCGTAGGGGTATTTAGCACTGGGAGGAAACTGGAGGACCTGGAGAAAACCCACGAGGTTGGACAGGCGACCCTACTCCTTGTCACGTACAACTGGGGAATCAAAACCACGACAGTTGACTCAATAACAGACCTTATGGTACAGCGCGCACATGCTAATAATTAGGCCATCCAACTCACCTACATGCCGTATGAAGCCACAGTAAATGGAATTCAACTATTAAAATATTTATTTCTCTTCGAAAAAAATTGTCGACCATTTTGTTTATTTCCATTCTTTCTTTTTTTAATACAAAACAAATTATCAAATAATCTTCGCTTGCATGGCAATTATCAATCAACTAATCATTAATCAATGACAATTGATTTGTATTACTCAATGACACAATGATCCGGACGCTCCAGATTATCAGCTTGTTGATTAATTTGTAGTATGCCGCCACATGGTTGTGATTGAGACTCAACATAATGGTCAATCTATATACGATTATCAAAAAGAATCGCAAGTATCCAAAAACATTATCGCCAAAATCTAAGTTTTATCGCCACTTTCACTTTTTTTATGGCAAACTGCACCTTTGGCGAATGACAACATGAGCCCTGGATGCAGCCATGATATCAGTGAACGAGTTGCGTCGACTTGATAACAACAAGCTGAGTTTGTTTACATATTGTACAGGTTTGAAAACACAATTGTAATTGGTTGAAAATAAGGTCATTGGAAATACTATGGCATGGGATATTCCCGCAGCGAGCGGAGAAAAACGACTAATTTCACAGAGAATTTGAGGACAAAAGCAAGATTTATGAATACAGTACTCTTACAAAACGTCCAAATAAAGGTGTTTTAAAATGCTTTATTGCTATTTTGATCTTTTGGGTCGATAGACTCATTTTTGTGAAAATCTCAATTTCAATCAAAATCAATATTTTCACTTGTTTTGTGTGTAGCTCATTGCAAGATCTTGCACATTCTAACTCATTTTGCCAGCATGGGTCAAATTTTTCTTTTTAGAAAAAACAACCCTCCCAACGAACTATTTCTTTTTAGGCGTAACAGGTATTTTATTTTATTGTGAAATGAACAAAGTAAAGAAACTTCTTACCTTCAGTAATCTAGTAATTTTTGAATCTCTATATGGAATGTGAGTAGATTTTTTCTTTGGATCACCAAGGGCACTAATTACATTACCCAGTGATAACAACCCTGTATTGATATGGATGGACTCTAGATCAACAAAAAAAAAAATAATTAAAAGGAAATAGATTTACCGTGAGAAATATAACAATAATAAGCTATTGCTAAATTGCAGTTGACCTGATGAATTGGATTTGATGAAGCCTTACCCATTCAAACTATAACAAAGGTATTAGGAAATGAAATGGTGTGCTATGACGGGAATTTCCACCTACTCTTCATTGTTTCTTTGTGAAGACCTACTGTTCAAGTAAAATAGTCTAGCCATCTTCTTAAGTATACATTATTTACATTTAGTAAAAATGAAATGGGGTTTAACGTCCTACTGTTCTGCTCCTATATTGGGCTAATGAAGACGGGCATACGCCATACAGTGTGCTATGAGGGAAATTTTGCCCGGACACAGCACTATCGCCTAATCTTATATCGAATTCCAACTGCCAAGGGATCTTTTACGTGCATTCCAATGTATACACGGGACCTCGGTTTTTCGTCTCATCTGAAGGACTAGACAGCTGTCCTTGTCAGGCCCTCCGTCCTGCATCACTGACAATGGGGAACCACGCCGGAAAATCTGGATGAACTTTCTCGGCCAATGCAGGGATCGAACACCCGACCTGCAGGCTAGCGAGCCAGCGTCTTACTCACTTAGCCACATGATCCCCACATTTAGTAAAAACATGAAGTACGATGGAGACAAACGATGTCACACAAAGAATGACTGCAGCGTGTACTGCAGTGCATGTGTATACCAAGACCTGTCTCATCAGTGAGCATGTCCAGTGATACATGCCCACAGAGAGTTAACTAGCAGACAATAAAAAAGGTCAATGTTTATATTACAACACCAACATGTACACTGGACATTGTTTTTGTCTTATCCGAATTACTAGATGATGTTCCTAGCCAGGCCATATATCCTACATCACTGACAAGTGGAAGCCAAGCAGAAGAATATCAAGGAACTGTTTTGACCAGCACCAGGATTTAAAGCCGGTCCTCCTTCATAGTGAGCCAGTGCCTTACTCACCGAGCCACTGTGGCCTACCAAGGTATTAAGAGTCTTAACTAAGGTGACTGTATCACCTGAATTTATTAGTTGTCAGATATACAAATTCAACACATTGGCCTTGCTTGATTTGTCAATACCGGCGCATACCGCCTGACCACAGTTCGGCAGTTTTTGCGCGAGGTCACTTGATTTCACCTGAAGTCGACAAAAGTTTGGCTGTGGTGTACGCCGAATGTGCCGCTTTGGTGGCAGCGGCGAACGCCGGCGCAAGATGCTGAACATGTCAACGAGATAAAAAATTCATGTTATTTAGGAATGCCATAAAACACTAATTTTAAAGCGTTAAAATTAAACCAAATGTTTTGAAGTTGAATTTGAGCTTTGTCAAACCAGAAGTTCATATGTCATTTATTTTTTCTCAGTAATATTACTAATAATAATTTTCTGCTTATTTTGCGGGCACTTTCAAGTCATACTGTTTTTGATTAAAACATGTCATGTAACCGGTTTAATATTATAACATTATCCGACGCCATATTGTTTATCAGCCGGGTCACTTGATTTGCTTCGATACGGTAACTTGACCGGCGTACGTCGTAGTAGAAACCGGCTCACCTATCGGTGGACAAATCAAGCAGGCCCACTAAGTCAACAGAATGAGGTTTAAGATCTCATGGACAGTGTGTAAAATTATGTACCAAGTAAGTCATATTGGGATTAACACACGGTTATTTTTAGTTACCATGATTATCAGTTCTATGCAAGGGAATATAAGTTTGCTTTGATGGCAGTTTCTGTCTACTTTTCTTCAAACTTCAACTGTCAAACAACTGATAAAAGTTGTCTCCACCTTAACAGATGCTCACAATTTGCATGTATTGGCCTATAAATATATAGCCAAGCATATGATATTGTCTATACATCTATCAAGTATTGAAGAACTAAAAAAATCCAATGATAAGTGACTACAGCTTTAAAATTCAGGTCAGTCAATTGGACGGGAAACAGTCGAAAAGTTTGTTTAGATTGATCCAATTTAAACCAAGAGCAAGCAAATATATATACTGGTATCTTATTAAGGGACATTTTTTGATGAATAATGAGAGTGAATCGGGTAGGGTTGTTGTACACATAAATATAGTGCTGTAACTATAAACAGTTTTCGAGCATCTTTCAGGGTGGAACATCCTACTTCAGCACTCAAATAGGAACACCTCAATTTTCTAACTTTCTAAAGGAATATGTAAACTTTCCTGATCAGCCATGATGGTTATTTTAGGTTAAGGCTGGAATTTCTGAATCCTGCCCAATCGACTATCTGTTGAGCCATCAAGATGTTGTAATATTTTGATGTTTAGACGACAGTCTTCAAAATCAGATGTTTTTATCAAGTTTGACTCACCTTTAAATCTATCACCAACATTGCCTGTTCTATGAGCCCTTTCTGAACCAGCCAGATCAACAAAATGAAACTTGCCAGACATAAAATGAGAAATCTCTGTAAAAGAAAACATTTGAAATGTGTAATAATGTTTTTGCAAAATTTTAATATTCTTTTACTTCTTAAATAATAAGAATATTTTATAACTTTTTAACTAATAACCAAATAACTATTTGCCATCTTCAATTTGTTTTATTACCTGTCACAAACTTTGTCAAGTACAAATTATCACACAACATACAAGTTTTGACAAATGGCACCTGTCACAGACATTGTCAGCCACAAATTATGTTTATATAATATTAATACAGATGTTGTGTGAAATTTTGTGCCTGACAAAGTCTATGACAGGTGCCCTATGTCCAGACTTGCTATTAACCTGCAGATGGTTCTAATAAATAAAAGGGTGAAAGGGTGTAATAAAATTATTTGCAGGATTTTTTCACACATTATGCACTATAATAAACTGATTGTTACCGGGTAAAGATTCTGAACTATCAGACACCGATACTTTCCTTGCCTTACTAGCACTACTATTTCTACTCAAATCAAAATCATCTTCGCTCCATGACTGACCTAAAATAAATGTTAATTCAAATTTTATCTAAACATATACTTTTGAATAATACTGATAATAAAAACAGAAAATATTTGACAGAAACAATATGAGCGGACAAATAAACATGAAAATCATTTGGATACCAATCATTTGTTCACATTGTGCCTGTTCTCCCCTGAACATTTAACTATCATCCAGCCTAGAAACATTCAAAACTAAATCAAAAACATATCCATTTATGGCCTTTTATGGAACCTAGACTTTGCAGTGCCTTCACCATGCATACTAGCATGAAGCTGTGTGTGGTATATATATACTATTCAAAAAAAGTAGGGGATATTTGATTTTGGGGGCATAATACTAAAATATGCAAATGACTACGAAAAAAGTCACTATAGAACCTAACAGAAGAAACATTTCCAGTTAAATGTGACGCCCAAACGCACCAATAGCTACCGCATGGAATGCAGGCGATGCTTGGGATCATCATGGGGGTCCAACCCAAGATTTGCACGACTCTGACTTTGAATGTTACAGTCATTGTGGCATTGAATTCCAGGGTGGAAACATCAGTTTAATTGTTTTAGTGACCAGAAAACAAATTTTGATATGCGTCGGCTTACCCAAAATGAAAGGTTACGTGCCCTTGGCATGCTACAGATCGGCACAACACAGGCGGTTGTGGCGCGGACGATGAATGTTTCTCAGTATGTCATAAGCAGGCTATGGTCCAGATACCGTGATACACAATCTGTACAGGACAGACCACGCTCAGGTCGACCAAGGGCGACAACTCAAGCCCAAGATCGATTTATCCGTACCTTGGCCTTGAGAAATCGTGTCTTCACAGCAAATCAGATCAGCGCTCGTCTTCAAACAGACACTGGTGTGAGAGTGAGTGGCCAGACGATTCGGAATCGACTGCATAGGGGTCACCTTCGCGCCCGACGTCCTCGCGTGATCCCTTGTTTGAGAGATCATCACATTCAGGCAAGACGTCGTTGGTGTAGGGATCGTCAACACTGGGATAATCGACGCTGGAGCAATGTGATGTTTTCAGATGAGTCAAGGTTCACTGTTGATTTTTTGGACAGACGTAGGAGGGTGTGGCGTCGTCGAAACGAGCGCTTCCAAGACGTTAACGTCATCAGACATGATCGATTTGGGGGTGGTTCTGTTATGGTGTGGGGAGGCATCACTGTTGCTGGAAGAACGGCTTTACATGTTGTTGCAGGGCGTGTTACAGGCCAGTACTACCGGGACAACATCTTGGCAGTCCATGTTGTGCCGTTCGCACGACGTCATCTTCCAGGATGACAACGCAAGATGTCACAGGGCCAGGATCGTTACAGGTTACCTCCAACAACAGAACATCACCACATTACCTTGGCCAGCACTGAGTCCCGACCTCTCCCCCATCGAGCATGTCTGGGACATGCTTGGACAGAGGTTACGTCAACGTCAACAACGTCCTGCCAATGTCCAAGAACTTGCTGCTGCGTTGCAACAGGAATGGGACAATCTGGACCAAAAAGACCTTAGACGTCTCATTAGGAGTATGCCACGTCGGATCAATGCTTGTTTGGCAAACAGAGGAGGATTTACCCGTTACTGACTTGGTTGTGATGCTGTGGTAACTTTGCTGTTTGACCCCGGGTATCATTTTACCCTTATAATGGTCAGTCTGTGCCTTACTTAGTCTAACGATCATTTGGAATAAATCGATGAATGTGAACTTCATTTCATTTTGTCATTTGTTTCTTCGTCAGTTTCATTAGGTGACTTTAATAACACTTAAAAATCAAATATCCCCTACTTTTTTTGAATAGTATATATACATATTATTACTATTATTATAAGTAGTAGTTGATTTGCACAAAATGACAAAACAAGTAAGTTGAAAATAGGTCACTCCATGTTAAGTGACCCCCTCAGAAAATTCTGAAAAAGATATGTTATAGTACATACAGACTTATGTAAAACTGCAAAATTATATGACTCTAGCATTAATATTGACTGAGATATGACCATTTGAATTGGGATACCCCTTTTTGCAAGTTTTGAAACTAAGACTTGATTTTTGTGACCCGATTTTATTTCTTCCAGTCAGTCTATATTCTAGAAATTCTGGGGTTTGTAAGAGAATGTTAAATATATTAAGAACTTGCCATGTTAATATATTTACATTTTTGCCCATTTGAAAGCATATTACTTCCACATTCCAATACAGTGTATCGAAATAGATATTTTTTGCAAATGTATCAATTTTTGGCACTTCAGGCACTCCATACACATTTGACGGTAAATTCTTAATCTATATAACATTCTCTTACAAACCCCACAATTTCAAGAATATAGACCAAATAGAAGGAATAAAATCAGGTCACAAAAATCGAGTCATATAATAGTTTCAAAACTTGCGAAATGTCTGTATGTAATACATATATATTTTTTTTATAATTTTCTTAAGTGGTCACTATACAACTATCTGAGAATTTGGTCCACTTGACATGGAATGACCAAAATATAACTGTTCAAGATTTGATTATGACACCCATTTATTATATATAGTCTAAAAAAAAAATGCACAGGAATTAACAAAACTTACTAATAACAATAGTAAATATAGAATGAGAACGACTGGAATGTTCATTCATCTGTGTAGAACCAGTTTGTCTTGCTGCAGAACCACATTCTAACAAATCCATGACTTCATCTAATGATTCACAAGCTACTTCACGTGTCCCAGTTATAACTGTTACAAAAAAAAACAACATTTATATTAAACTTACATAACCTTGACGGCAAATGATATCTTAAATCGTTTTTGGCAAGTTATACAATCCCGAAAATTGTTCTCAACTTTCTACTGGCTGTGCGTGTATTAGTTGCTGATATACTTTCACAGACAAACCATTCAGTGAAAGGAAATTAACAACAAGAAATCAATGACTTTAATATTAAATGGTACACTACAATATAAACCATTACTTGCCTGTATTGCCATTCTCATCTTCTCTAACATGTAAGTCTTTATTAGAACTATCTGCATCTAATAAATCTTTTAATTCTTCTTTATAAATCTCTATATAAGATACTCTTATACTATATTCTACTTTAGAGTTTTCCTGAAAATCAAATATGAATAATATTCCTGTTAGAAAATTTTGTGATACTCCTATGTCAAAAGAGTGCAAACAACAATGGATAAACGAAATGAAATGAAATGAAATGAAATGAAATGGAGTTTAACGTCCTACTTTTCTGCTCCTAACCTGGGCTTATGAAGACGGGCATACGCCACACAGTGTGCTATGAGGGAAATTTTGCCCGGACAGCGGCACTACGGCCTACTCTTATATCGAATTCCAACTGCCAAGGGATCTTTTACGTGCACGCCAATGTGTACACGGGACCTCGGTTTTTCGTCCCATCCGAACGACTAGACAGCTTTCCTTGTCAGCCCCTCCGTCCTGCATCACTGACAAGGGAGAACCACGCCGGAAAATCTGGATGAACTTTCTCGGCCAATGCAGGGATCGAACATCCGACCTCCAGGCTAGCGAGCTTAAACGAAATGAAATAGGGCTTAAAGTCCCAAAGGATAAAAAATAACACATATTTACGTGAGAACAATTCAATTAATAATCTATTCTGGCATTGTTTCATAGACTCATAGAGTACTTTCTCTATGTTTTCAGGCAAGTACAGTAACAAATGTGTAGGGCAGTTATATAAGAGTACTTATTTGCTAAGGTGCAATAATTGAGATAGCATTTTGTTTTTGCGTATAAAATTGCTATTTTTTTTTTTTTTTTTACAAACAACATTTCACTGTATAAGAGGGTTGTTTGAGGAATATAAAAGACAATATCATGACCGTGTATAAAATATTATAGACAAAATAAAAAATTGAAGTCCATAGTATGCCTATCTTTTAAGGTTCAAAATGGGAAATTTGAATGGATGCCTCAGAAGATTGTTTTTTATTAGTGCAAAAATAAACATCTGTTAGCAATCTCTTTTTTGTCTTTTAAAAATTAATTGACATGCATATCTCATACCATAATGGCTTTTTTCTAAATACTGCAAGTTGTCACTAGTAATTTTAAGTTCAATTTCGTGAAAATCGGATCTACTGCTCTGAAACAACTGGGCTAATGAAGAGAGGCATATGCATACATGTACAGTGCGCTATGATAGAAAATTTGCCCGGACAGCGGCACTACGGTCTACTCTTATTTTGAATACCAAATGTCAAAGATTCTTTTATATGTGCATCATGCCAATGTTTACAAGGAACCTTGGTTTTTGTCCAATGCGAACCACACCAGAAAATTCCACTAAGTTTTCTCGGTCAACACAAGGATAGAAAACGGGACCTCCAGATTAGCAAGCCAGCATCTTACTTACTAAGCCACTGCAGCTCCCATCTAAAATATGAAGCTTAATTTGATATCCATGGGATGCACTGATCACTCAAATACCATAATAGGCATTATCCTTAACTTAAACTGAACTCATTTAACGCATCTTTTTTTTTACTCCTAACTGTTGTATGTGACGGTTTTAATCAGTTGGACTTATTTAAACAGATTGCTTCACTGCTGGTAACCACAAGTAAAATAACCATAAGACACTTGAAGAAAATCCACAAAGGTCGAAGAACAAATATATCCTAAACAGTAATAGTATGAAGACATCTTTGAAAATGATAACTTCAAAGTGTAAATCGGTTGCTGTTCCTGTAGAAGAAATCGTTCCTTGTATCTGAGTCGCCTGACACCTTGATTCCGCCTTTTTAGGTAAGACCTAGGAAAAGATTTTTTACTCTTGATTTCCAAGACCTAATCGATATTTTACAACGATGACATTTAAATACAACCACCAGTAATATCCTAAAGCCTGGAAGAAGAAAGACTGTCCTTGATGCAATCAACACATTTGTTCAAAACTACAACAGTAGATGGAAGCTGGCAGAAATTATTACAAGAAATTGATCTCATAAAAATTTGATTGTAGATTTGTAGTCTTTGATTTTCATTTCATTTTTAAATGCTAAATCATTATGCATTCTTTGAAATAATTATTGTACATTATTTTTTTGAAAAACTGTAATACACAACGGTCTGATATGTGCAAATAGCGAAAGAAACTGAGATCTTTGGGACACAAACATATATTTTAAGTTTCATCAACATCTGATAATACAAACTTTGTATTATATACTTAAACACTATTTGCGTACAAGGAGTGGCCATTTTGTCAGGCAGTTTCAGTCCAAAATTAGAAATTCGAACTCTACCCAGGGATGTGCCTACTATTAAAGTTACCGGATGGCACCGCCCAGCATCAATATTATCCACCAAGAAAAATATCTTGAAGCAGGTTTCCGCCCATCGTCATTTTCTTGTAAACAAAGATTATTTAAAATGGAAAAAAGCGTCTTTATTTCTTCCTTTTAACCTCAGAATCTGAATAAATCATCTTGACTCACGTCTAACTAACCTTGTAACATCCAAACATAACATTTGTTTTCGGAAAAATTCATTACTTTCGATTTGTTGTTTGCTGTGTAGAGTTATCTAACAGATATGTAGATTCTTTTAACCAGTCATATCAGTGCCATTTAACTAGCATGACTGGTTCAAAAAGTCTAGTTTGTTTACTGGCACTGTACCGTTGTAATTATTAATGGAATATAATTAATAAATGCTCTTTAAAATATCAATTTGCTGATTCAGACGAGCAAGTCTGTCATCCACAAAACATACTCATCATAATGTTTTCCTTTGGAAAACTTTGGCTAGTAAACAAGGGCAGTGCACGAAATGTTCAGAAATCAGACTGGATCTTCATAATATTTCAGCATGGTAAAGCTTAGCTCTGTAATAGTATGAATTTTCTCAACGGAAAACAGGCAATCAATTTCCACTTATCATAAATTACCAGAGACTTCATAAAAAGTTTATTTAAGAAAACGGGAAAACTGTGCCTAAACGTCACAAAATTATGCTTTTTCGCTCTGAAAAATTGATAATTTTCTCCAGAGGGGCTGATCCCTCAAACTCCCCCTGCTATTAAGAGAGGGGCAACAGCCCCTTTCATGCACCCCCTGCCCAAGATTACCACTCTGTATGAATATTTTCTGGGCACATCCCTGTCTACCATCATTAGGGTGTAACGGTGATACATTTAAACGGTTTTTTTTAAAATAGGATAAAAATTGTGACTTCTAGGGTGTCCACAAACTAAAAACGTGATTTTTCATACAATTAGCAAAAATGACATGATTTAAAGGAACCAAAATCTTTGGGAGATAAAAATTGGATAAAATTTGTGAGCTGTAGAGCGGACAGGGACGACGGCTAATACATGAAAATGTGGGCATATAAAAATAGCGAACCAAGACAAAGTCTCGACTGACAAGTACCATTGTTACGATAATGAATTTTCAATACATTGATTTTGCATTATAGCAAGAACAGCCAGATCTTTATCTAAATCTTATATGATGTAAATTTAATGTAAACATGAAAAAAAATCTTCTGTATTTTAAATGCTATCTAAACATTTGAAACAAATGCTAGAAAAGTTTATAAATTTGATAAAAAAAAAATATATATATATATATAAAGTTACTTACTTGCATGATATAAAACATTTCTTTAAGCGCTCTAGGTAAAATACCATATTCTTCTTCTGTTAAAGATGTAATATTACCACCTCCTATAGTAAATGTTTTACCCGATCCCTGCAAAAACATTGCCGAAAAATGTTCAACACTATAAAAGCCATGAACAAAATGTGATTTTTCATCTATTCAGCTCTATGTAAGAGCTTTTGAGAATTATTTATTATATGGTATCTAATTTAAACATTATATAAGACAAGAATCTTCTCAGACAGAAAAATTCCTACTGCGTTTGTATCTGTTATGTACACTGTCAATTTGTATACTCTGGGTATTTTTCTTTCCACTACTGAAACTCTGACACTTTGATTACTTTGAGACTACATAATATTCAGAATAAAAATTGTGACCTCTAGAGGGTTCCATAAGCTTTGTATTACATACTTATACACAATTTGCATACAAAGAGCGGCCATTCTGTCGGACAGTTTCATTTCAGTTTTCCAGAAATTCAAATTCAACCTTCATTATGGTGGAATAGTGATATATCTGAACGGTTTGAATCGGATAAAAAATTGTAACTTCTAGAGAATTCAAAAGCTAAATATGCGATTTTTCGACAAATCAGGGGCCATAATCCACGAAGTTACGTTTGGATATGTGTGATTATCAAAAGGAACCAAGATCTTTATGATAAAAACATATATTTAAAGTTTCATCCAAATCGGATAAAACCTGTGGCCTCTAGAGGGTCAACAACCTTGTTGAAAATGTGGCCGTATAAAAACTCATGTGGTTCCACATAGTATTTCTGTTATGACCCAATTTTATTTATCTTTACTTACGGTTTGTCCATAAGCAAATACTGTAGAATTATAACCTTCAAATAAACTGTTTACTAAAGGTTCTACACAGGTTTCATATACTTCAGTCTGTAAAATAGAAATTGCATTGAGAGAGACAAAAAAAATGGGTTTTAACATCCACTTAACACGAACTAGGTCATTCCAAGACTAACATATGGTTCAATTTTATTTCAACAATTCGCTTGCACATTGAGTCTTTAGCAGTGGGAGAAAACCCACGAGGTTGGACTCCTCATCACGTACAAGTGGGGAATCGAAACCACACCACTGACCTAATGATCTAATGCGCACATTCGGCCACCCAGAGAGAGAGAGAAAGAGATAAATGGGGTTTAACATCCACTCGACACAAACTAAGTCATTTCAGGACTAACACATGGTTCAATTTTATTTCAATAATTCACTTGCGCATAGGGGTCTTTAGCAGTGGGTGGAAACTGGAGGACAGGAGAAAACCCATGAGGTTGGACAGGCGACCCGACTCCTTGCCACGTACAACTGGCGAATCGAAACCTTATGATACAGCGTACATGCGCTAACCATTCAGCCATCACTTACTGAATCCTCCACGCCCACCCAACCCCTCAAAATGTGCATATAAATCATTTAATAATCACAATAATTCCTCAGTTTCACATCATAATTCTGTTATACTGATGAATAAAACATCTCACCTGTGTCGATTTAGAAGATAAAACATGGTCATAAGTGAAAGCTCTATCTTTTCCCATAACAATTTGTTTTGTAGTAGGTATTATTCTTACACACATCTGCTCTGAGGCTAGTTGTTCTTTTGGTAGCAGAGGGCGAACCTACAAATACATGCAAAAGTAGAAATAAATTGGCTATATATTATAATAATATTATGAAATTATATGGTCTGAAATCAGCAAATATCGACAGGAACTATAAGATCTTTGGTATATTAATATGACCTCTAGAGGGTCTACAAGCTTTGTATATAAACTCAACCTTCCCTACGATGTAAATGTGATTTTACATACAATCAGGGGCCATAATCCACAAAGTTATGGTCTGATATGCGCAAATATCGAAAGGAACTGAGATCTTTGGGATATAAACATATGTTTTAAGTTTCATCAAAATCAGATAAAAATTGTGACCTCTAGAGGGTCCACAACAGACACAAGTATAATGGTTTTGGTTGATTTTAAATGATTTTTGCGAATTTTTAAACAGATTTGATTTTAAACGAATGTGAAAGAAATTTCCGGTAGTGCAAGATTAAATGATATCAGGGTTACAGTGTTACCCTAAACACTATGTAATAAATTTAAAGTCAATCGGATATTAACTTTAGCCTTTAGAGTGTCCACAAGCAATTCTGGACGCCAGGCCAATGGATGGACGGACAGACCAACGTCAATATACAACCAAAGTTCAATGTGGGCGTATAAAAACCCTTACGAAAATAATATATGTTTCGTACTAAAGGTACCGAAACACGTAATAACCCCTAATTTAAATATTTTGCACATTGCACATTAGATAATCATCATCTCAATTGAGTGTCATTACCTCACATCAAGTTATCTTCCCTATTTAATCATAACATGGCTTACCCTTACTGCTACTTGTACATTATCTTCTTGCATTTTGCAGTGTTTGTGTTCACATATTTTACCAAAAGTTTTCTGAAAAAATAATATTTTATCAAGTATGAAAATCACTGTTTTGTATACTGAGGAGTATACTCACTGTAAATCACTGATCATGACCATAATGGATCTTTGTCATAAAATTAATTATTAATAAATAATTGTTAGCCCTATGGCTATAGCTACATAGTGTTTCAGCTTGACATTGGTCTTTTCCCCCGTAATGATAAAAATACAAACAATAGTCAAATAGGCCTCGTTAAAGTAGCTAAGTCTTTAACTCAATATCATCCAAAGTCTTCGACATTGAAAACACAAATTATTTGCCAATTTAAATCAACATTGATGTGATCTTACCGAGAAAAGATGGGCTTCTGGTATTCAATATTTAAGACAAAATAAACATTTTACCAATGGTACACTAATCGTGTACCATAAGGCATTTCAGCGCCATTTGTAACAGGGGACTAAAAGAACTTGGCTAGACATATTCCACAAGTCATGTCAAACCGGGACACCATAATCTTATCTGGAGAGCATGCAAAATAAATACCATTTGTGTAGACTGGAATACCCATACGCTAGAAATTGCCATCTGATTGAGACTTTTGGCGTATAACTGATTTGAAATTAGAGTAAAAACGGAAACGATTGAATGTAAATCAGTTTACATTCATATTACATTATTGTATACATTGCGACACATTTGTGTCAATTTCTACATGTAGCCAATGTAATTCACTTTAGCCGTGGGAGGACTCGGAGAAAACCCAAAAGGTTGAACAAGCAACCTTACTCCTTGTCACGTACAAGCGGGGAATCTAAACAACATCGCTCAAGTGACTCAATGACAGAAGTTTTGATTAGTGCTGGGTATTGCCACTGCAGTCACGATACGATACGTATTGCGATTCAGGTGCTACAATATGATTTGTAGCACAATTCACAACCAGGATAATATATATCAAGAAAACAACAGGGTAAAAGAATAATTGATATTTTTAGTTCTGCCGATGTTGAAGAAATAAAACTATTTTATAACACAATATTGATGTGAATCAAAATAAGGACCAAAACAATTCAAGAGTGTTTGTGTACCTATGGATAATGTGTGACCTGGAAAATTAAGAGTTACGAATTACAGGTTACTAATTAATACTAATTGAAACAAAAAACTGAAAAAAATGAATGCGGATATATATCAATTAAGTCTCTCACAATTGTGAGAAGCTGAATCATGGTACACTAATTTTGATCGAAAGTGGATGTGTTAAACCATTCGGTTACCCAATTCCTTATTATCCTATAAACCTTTTAAAAAGTATAAAAGCGCATTAAAAGCTATTGCAAATCATGTCATGTAGATAGCAATAATGAATGTTATTTTTGCAAGAGAGTATATAGAGGGACAGTTTGGTTTCGGAAAGCATAAGAGCGTCCAAGTTATTTTACGCTTAAATTCTATGCTGACATAAGTAAAAGGGGAAGACCAACGATTTTCAACAAGGTTTCCATAAATCTTAAATATAGATAAATAATCCCATCTGTAAGTAACACAAGCAAAAAAGATTTTGTAGGTGGGAAATTAATATTTATACAGACTTGGCATAAGTTGCTGTTGTATTTTATTCACGTGCCTTCATTTGGATGAGAATCCAACCAAAGGAACTGTTTATTGGGATATTATAAATATAGAATTATATTGTTTTTTGACGTTTAATACACAAATCCGACACGTCCATTCATTCATACTGAACAGTACATTGTGGACCAATTCACGCCACACAGCTAATTGTTTACATCACATGGTTTGGTTGATACCCGGCAAGTGAGAGATATTTTGTTTGCTTGAATGTTTTTGTGCGTGCTGAGTCTCCTGACAGTGTTTTTATCTATTTCAACGGACTTGTGGCATATTCAAATAAATATATAAATTTCCAAAGTATGTCAATGTCAGTCACCAACGTATCATAATATAAGATATCTCTTCTGTGGGACTACAGTAATGCCATACAGATTTGAGCCCAGCCATTCTCAAGAGGAAATAGAAGAAAAAAAAGGAAAAGTTGTCCATGTCAACATTATATGCCAAAATGCACTATTTTGTATGTCTCATGTGTCCATAATTTTGGTCTGTTTATGTTGAACCAGCGGCTGCCAGGCAGAATACGCCCACATTTTTGAGAGATGGATAGAGAACAAGCTAAAAAGAAAGTGATTTTTCCGACAATCAACGGTCATAATTCAGGAAGTTACGGTCCAATATGCGCAAATATCGAAAGGAACTGAAATCTTTGGGTTATAAACTTACATGTCAAGTTTCAACAAAATCGGATAAAAATTGTGACCTCTATAGGGTCCACAACCTTGATATACCATATTTTTATGCTATTTGAGAACGAAAGGCAGCCATTTTGTCTGTCAATTTGGGGCCGATTTTCACGAAATTCGAACTCACTCGTCCTTATGGTGTAACAGTGATATAATAATACGTTTTTTTATATCGGATAAAAATTTTGACCTCTATAGGGTCCACAAGCTAAAAATGCGATTTTTTGTACAATCAGGGGCCATAATTCAGGAAGTTAAGGTCCGATATGCGCTAATATCGAAAGGAACCGAGATCTTTGGGTTATAAACTTACATTTCAAGTTTCAACAAAATCGGATAAAAATTGTGACCTCTAGAGGGTCAACAACCTTTATATTACGTACTTTTACTCAATTTACCCAAGTTATTCTGAGAATTTTTGCAATTTTTATAAGCCCACATTGAAATGTGGTCGTATATTGTCGTCGCCCCCATCCATCCGTCCGCAATTGCTTGTGGACGCTCTAGAGGCTAAAGTTAATATCCGACTTACACAGTGTTTGCGGTTAGGAGACAAAGAAGCCTGTTGATTTTCAGCAATTTTCGATAATTACTGCCAGAGTTATGGCCCTTGATCACTTCAAAAAAGCTTGTGGACGCTCTTGAGGCTAAAGTTAATTTCCGATTGACTTTAAATTTATACGCAGTGTTTGAGGTCATGAGACAAAGAATCCTATTGATTTTCAACGATTTCCGATAATTACTGCCAAAGTTATGGCCCTTGATCACTTTGAAAAATCTTGTGACACTCTAGAGGCTAAAGTTATCATCCGATTGACTTAAATGTTTTGTATACTAAAGGTTAGCATGGGGCAGAACTTTATAAAAACCAAACAAATTCTAAGGATTTTCTGATAATTACTTACTGAGATGTTACTCTTAATCAGATTTTAGTGTACTATAAATTTTTCATTATCGAAAATAGTAAAAATATGCGACAACTCTTGTTGACTGCCTGGACGATTTAGCGTATGTTTCGTTGCTTGGCAACCTATCTTTTTTTCCTTTTTATGGCCTTTATAATAAGAATAGGTTATTCTAGCTTTAGGTATGAAGTTTTAAACAATTCCATACATGATACATAAATTTGAATGAGAGAAAAAAAAAATGTAAACATTTGGTAACGGAAGTACATTCTCATAGCGATATTTTTCAATGTTGGTTACTTTCACAAAAATATATTATTTTTATATTTTAATGTATAACAAGCCAACAGTGAGGCTGATGTCCCCTGCCGAAATAGGAAAATAATTAGAGGACACATATAAATTTATCACAAATTATCTTTTACAAAGTATTGAACAATCAAACAGTATATCTTTACTTATAGTCTAACAATCAAAGTAGGAGAGTTATTGTTTTCCAAAGTCTCGACCAATCAAATTGCGTATCGCTCTGCTTACCCTGAGCAGAAAATGCTCATTATCAAACTTAGTCAAGGTATTACTGTAATGAAACTATACACCAAGTTTCATCAATCTCACTTAATTAGAACTAAAGTTATCGTGTCCCAAAGCATCAACCAATCAAATTGCTTATCTCTGCTTACCCTAAGCGGAAAATGCTCATCTTCGAACTCCATCAAGGCATTGACCTAATCAACACATACACCAAGTTTGAACATTCTAGCTCAATTAGGAAGAGAGTTATCGTGCCCCAAAGTATCAACCAATCAAATTGCTTATCTCTGCTTACCCTAAGCGGAAAATGCTCATCTTCGAACTCCATCAAGGCATTGACCTAATAAACACATACACCAAGTTTGAACATTCTAGCTCAATTAAAAGTTATCGTGTCCCAAAGCATCAACCAATCAAATTGCTTATCTCTGCTTACCCTAAGCGGAAAATGCTCATCTTCGAACTCCATCAAGGCATTGACCTAATCAACACATACACCAAGTTTGAACATTCTAGCCCAATTAGGAAGAGAGTTATCGTGTCCCAAAGCATCAACCAATCAAATTGCTTATCTCTGCTTACCCTAAGCGGAAAATGCTCATCTTCGAACTCCATCAAGGCATTGACCTAATAAACACATACACCAAGTTTGAACATTCTAGCTCAATTAGGAAGAGAGTTATTGTGTCCCAAAAAGTGTGACGGACAGACAGACGGACAGACAGACGGACGGACAGACGGACAGACGGACAGACAGACAGACAGACGGACAGACAGACGGACGAACACATTTTAATAGTCCCCTGCTTTCTTCGAAAGGCGGGGGACAAATATCATGTTTATATACATTGTCAGATAACTAATGACAAATCATCAATTATGATTTAGAATAATCAAACACAAAGTAAGGAAATACAATAAAATTATATAAATGCGATATTTACAATGTCAACCTTTACACAAGACCAAATAAAAAAATATATAGATTATTTCTCACCATTACACACTGTTTTTGTCCACTTATCCACTTATAAACTAATTAAATTTTTCACCTAATTGTTTACTTTGGCGTGGAATTGCCCAGATATATTTTAAGTTTCATCAAAATTGGATAAAAATTGTGACATTTAGAGGGTCTACAACCTTTGTATTACGTACTTTTACACAATTTTGTCAGGCAGTTTCGTTTTGATTTTCCCGAAAATTCAAATTCAATCTCCATTATGGTGGAATGGTGATAATAATTAAACGGTTTTTAAAATTGGA